AGAGAGAGAGAGAGAGAGAGAGAGAGAGGGAGAGATGCGTGTTTTTTTAAAACCTATATTGTATATCTGCCCTATCACTCATTCTTTAAAAAAATTCTTTGCCTTTCTGTCTTTCTATTTTGTGACCCTGTTTGCCTTTCGTACAGAATAGCCGGTGTAGATCCGTGTTTTCCAGTCTGGGCGGTAACACTCACTAGTTGGAGATTTGATACATTTGATGGACACTGGGGATTATCCTGATAGTGGCAGGTATATTTAATGTCCTTCTTTAAAATCCATGTATGTATGCAATGCCAACGTTTTAGTCTTTCAAAGGCAACAAAAGTGAACTCTTTCTATTAAAACAAAAAACAAAAAAACTTGGCAACGCTGGTGTAGACAATAAATGTTCTTTTTTGTGATTATCAGGGAGCAAGGAAAAGATTCCAGTAAACAATTTTCAGGTGCATGTGCTGCCTATTTTGACCACAATCATAACTCACCATAAGGAGAACAAAGAAACGGTCACCTTGGTTGAGGCATAGAGCACCTTTTGTTTGTCCCGCCGACTGCGGCTTCAATCTTCCGCTACAGACTAGATTATCATACAGATTTCCGCATTATTGGTTCACTTTAGCATCGTTGTTGTCTACAACTGCACATTATGACCGCGGTGTGGGCACGTGCCATCTACACGAGGGACCCACGCACCAGGTGGAGGGCTGTACATTGTACAATGAACTCTAGGAGTTCACTCTGATATAGGAGAAGAAAATTGGTGAGGAATAGCAGAGAGGTGCATTAAGAGGGTAGTTCAATTGCTCTCTAAGCAGTTGAGGCCAAATAGGCCGTACATTACGCATTGATTATGCATTTAGAGTCTGGAAGTCACTCTGGTAACTGCAGTGACTGACACACTTAGGTTTGTCTTCAACGACCTGGATCAATGGGGTCACCGCGAAAGTAGAGACAATACAAACGGAAGAGAGTTTAAAACTTTCTGCAGTTGGGAGTGTAAACCAGAAACATTAAATTCCTAAGAAGACCTTACTTTAATAATATATTTCAACTATTACCATGACTAGGCACAATCACTACCACCACCTTCCCCTACCATAACCACCGCAATGGTGCTTACAAAAAAGTACAATAATTGCCAGTGGCCTTTTATTAGTCAAATTAGAAATAGGCAGCAGCGTGCGTATCACAAAAGAGAGCCCAGGTCTTTAAAAGAAAGAAAGCAGGAGGGAACAAGGGCTCTGTGGTTCCTTTCCACATCTACTGTCGCCGTGGGGGCAGTCGCTTCTTCAATGACGCAGGTGTGGGGCATTCCGGGAAGAAGGGAAACACGTTAAATCTAAATACTCTTCTGAAGGAGGCGTGGTCTTGGGGAAACGCCCCTTCGGATGCCTCGAGTACCAAGTTGTCATGGCATGGAAGACAATGAAACAACGGAGAAGGGAAAGGTCGACGAGAAAAGAGAGTAGAATGGGATGAGATGGAATGGGATGGGATGGGATGGTGGCTACGTTTATTGGACTACGTATAGCCGACAGCTTCATTTGTCTGAAACCATTTAACCGCGAGCCACGCATGAAGAGAATGCACGGACCCGATTTCAGATCTATAACGGTCATTAAAATAAATAAAAAAACCAAATGAAAAGACAGTCAGCCCTCTAATGTATATTATGTACATTTTCTAATTTGTAGTTTTAAGGACACAAAAATGGTGTCTATTTAATTTCGTACTCTTTGTCAATGGTGATAAAGTTCGGAACTAGGACATATATACCTTTTTTTATAACAGGAAAGCTCTTTAACAAATGGAGGCACTTCTTCTTTCAGGAAATGTTTGTATAGCTGAGGTGGAGGAAGGAACCTTGTCTCTCTCTATTTTTTTTAGCAGCTGAGAGCAGTACCTGTGCACAGTCTTTGTTGGTTTTCTGTTGTAGTTCTTCCACCAATTGTTCTCCCTAAAGCAAAGAAAATATTTGATAAATAGCTCTGGGACTTGATTTTAAAGCTAAACAGGGAAAAACGAGTCTTTAGTCAATTGTTTTGGGAGAAACTATAGAATGTGGAAAAGAACTTGGGCATAATACACTTTTTACCGATATTATGTCGGGCAATCTATTTTCTTTTTCCTATTTCCTTTGTTCTTTCGATCAGACCTTCATTTCGTTCATTCATTCAATTTTACATTGATTTTTCTTCATCCATCCACCCACCTACCCACCCACTCTTTCTGTTCAATTAAAACACACAAAAAACCCGGATTTTTTTTCTTTGGTGTGTTTCGTTCTCGGACGATGTAAGTGACGATAACAATCTAATCGATATCAGTAAGACGATCCTGTTTACGAGATGTCATGATAATGACCAGGAAGGCTAGGAGCCAGCTCTTAATAGTCATGCTCACAGAAGAATTAGCATCTCACCGATGAGTCGAAATCGAAGCTCCAATTAGCGGAGAACTAAAAGGGGAAAAAAAATGCTTGCTCCCGAGAAGACGCTGTAAACAAAGAAAGGACTGTCAAACGATTTCCTGTACGTCGCCCTACATACTGTTTTTTTTCCGTGAAGTGAAGTACAGGGTGTCGCCAAAAACAAAAGAAAATCAACAGAAAAAAACCGGAACCCTCTATTTAAACCATTATTAAGTTCGTTGTGGTAGTTTGTGACCCTTCATATTCTTTTTTTTTTTTGAAGGTGTGAACTCGCGAAAATTGTCATGTTGGGTGCGAAGGCAAGATGGCAGCTATAAACTGTTAATTAAACGTTAACTCAAATATTGATAGCACCAGGGCTTCGTTTCTTGAAGATAATGCTTAAAAATTAAAGTCTGAATCAAATGGATGAGACGATAACACCACATTCTTTTTTTTTAAGTTTGTACTATTGTTGCTCCTTTGCGCGTGTAGTTACGAGCCAGACATAGCACAAAGCGATGCTTCTCTCGTTGCGTTCAGCATCTGGTTTTGACTCTCAGCCGTATTGAGGATGCTTTCTATTTCGAAGATTTACAAAATGTGTAGATTAGCTACAAGTACCACAACGACACAAACCACCATCGACAACAATGACAACAACAACAACAGCAACAGCAACAGCAACAGCAACAGCAACAACAACAACACAATGATCCCCCTCCCACCATGAACAATTACTCCCCCTACTGCCACAAACAAACAAACAAGCAAACATACAAATAAACAGACAAACAGAAAGACAGACATCCCATCTAAAAGATGGTCCTGTCGTGTGTGCTTTTGTTTTTTAATGCTGAATATTTCAAGGAATTGTGAATGTAACGATGATATAGAAGACGACATTAACGTGCCGCTCCACTCTGCGGCTAGAATTTCCCGCTTGTTGTCCAAGAGTTTTCATGTCGTTAAAATTCTCACAAAGTCCACTATTGGTCCTATCGACCTACAAAGTAGCAAAGCATTTCTCTCGTTTCCCCTCAACCCTTTGTTTCCGCTGGTGTAAAGGTCAACCTTTCCTCGAACAGCGTCACTAATCACGGTTTAGTACTCCTGCTTGGACACATGAGATTAAAACGATGCGATCTGGAGTAAATCTGATACTTGAATCGGCGATGTAAGGCAAAATGGTGACGTTTTGTCTTTGAGACACTTGACATATTGAAGAAAGGACAAAGGCA